AAAAGTATTTTATAATGAAAGAAGCATCATATCAGCATTTCCTGTCAGTTACTCCCTCTGTCAAAAAATTTATGGCATTTTTAGTACTTTAATCTGTAATTAATGTATTTTTTAAAAAACAATCTTAATAAATAAATTAATTTATATTTATTTTTAAGTAAAATATCCCATTATTAAATAAGGGCAAATACAAAAAAAATGATGTTAGTTTGAAAACAATAATAACTAATTTATTAAAAGTGACATTCCATTATAAATGACTTAAATTTTTAAATGAAAGTACTATGTTTGATTGCACCGCAGTATATATAATTTTTCTAGAAGCTTTGTTTGATTTAAAATATAACACATCATGTAAATTTTTATAATTATTTTTCAACTACACCCTTATTTTATTTATTATTATTTTTTAAAAATATATATTAAATTTTTAATTATCATTGTCATGACACTTATATGTGAAATTGTATGCAGGTGTAAATGGGAGTATGTAAAATTTTTCAAGAGATTAAAATTTTATGATTTTTTAATTGTAAAATAATTATTAATATCTTATACTATGATATAGAGGTAGTACATCCTTAAAATTAAAAAGAATGTACTAACTTTTTAGTTTAAAGCTTCTTTGCAATTTAATAACCTAAATAAATTGTTACCTAAAAATTCAAACAATAACAATTAAACAAATAAGGATGAGATTAGAAAATAAAATTAATTCATGGTATAACTTTGAATTAAACTCGAGACATGATTCGGCTCCCTCAAAAAATGGTACCAAGTGCCTCTCGACTGATCAAGTGCAATCTTAAACATAAAAAAGAAAATATTTAATTTTGCAAATTAAATATAACAAGTTTTCGGATGCATGCCATGCGCGCGTATTTTTTCCCTTGCTTGAGATTGTACAGCATTACTCTACCAAGGAGCCACAATGCACTGAGGGTACAAGTATTTTTGGGGGGGGGGGGGAGTTACAGATAAATTATGTAAATTTTACAATTTTGCACTTTTATTTTTAATATTTTGTATCATATGGACTCAATAAAAATTATTTAGATTCACAATCTTGTTAAATATACAATACTTTGACAGTTGAGATGAGATATAGAAAAGCATGTTAATAAAAACACCACATCAATTTGTTTAATGCAAATTTTTAAATAAAAAAATATGATCACTCTACTTATATTGTTACAATTTTAACTATGTTATAATCACTATTTTTATTTATTATTTTCTTAAAAATTTTAATTTTTTTTATTAAATTTTCCTGTACCTTTGGCTCTGAGTAGCTCTGTCTCACAGCTCACATGTGCATTCTTGTAATAAATAATTATATAAAAAACGATTTAAAAAAAAGTACACTCTGCAGTATTCTTGATTTCTTTCTCGATTACATAACTACGAGGTTGCTTTCTCCATTATATGCATGTGTGTGTGAATTGAATCTTGTTTGTTTTTTGGGATAACATTTTACAGGTTTTATTATTTTAATTTACTTTCGAGCTAAGCTTTCAGGACGAGCTTCTAAAGTTTTCTTAAAGACATGATCCACTCTCAAGTAAAAACAATAGGCATTTGAGTTGAATGGAATACTCTTACCGCTTATATATAAAATATTTTAAAAATTTTAATTTTATTTATAAATATAGGAGTATCATAATAATATTTTTAAGTAATTTAATATTTTTATCCTTATCTTGAAAAATAAATGAGATACTAATTGTGTGTGCTTTATTTATCACCATTATGATATTAATTATGATATTACGAGAGATAAAATTAAAAAATTATTATGAGTTTATATAATTTTAATTAAATAATAAATTTTTATTGGCAGATTAAAAAGCACCTTGTATGAGAATGGACGGAGTATTGAATTTCACGTGTGTTTTTTACTGTTCTGTCTTGTTTTATTTGAGGAGCTTGAAATGATATATATAACAAAGCTGACAACCTCGTGATAACTTAGCAAGGATTTTTGAATTATTTAAGGTGACAGGATGGCGTTTAGATTATATGTTTGGATTAAAATTTAAATTTTTTTGTTTGGATAGTAATTTTTTTTTAAAAAAGAAAGAGATCCCGTCGTATTTTATTATCTGTTAATTTCATATAAAAAATAAGATCAATACACACGGTAAAGAAAATGAATGACTAATGTGACAAACAGTTAGTTGTTTCAACAGTAACTTTTTTTTTTTTCCCCGGGCTTTTTAACTAATCGTTGTTTGAAAAACTGAGTAACTTAACGCTGCTATAGGAAATGTACCAGTCACGGCCAAACACACCCTGATTGCGGTTGACATCTTCAAAAAATTACGTTTAATTTATATTTTTAATTTTTTGGTCCAAAAAAATTTATATTTTAAATTTTAAAACTTTTTTTTGCTTTGTTTTGTTATCCAGATGCAATGTGCTGAATTTGTATTCGATCACATTTTATTTTATATATAATCTTGTATTTGTAAGTGATATACTCCTTCCTTTAAAAAATACAAGATATTTTAATTAAATTTCATTAATTGTATTTAAATTAATAATTTTTTATATTTAATTTTATTTATAGGGTGTTTTATTTTAAAATAAAATTAAAGTAATTTATTTATTGTAATATTTTTTAAAAAACACATTAATTACATATCACAATACTAAAATACTTTAAATTTCAAACACTAAACCCCGTAAAAAATACTTACTTTTTTAAATCGGGTGAGTACATCACGTACTTCATATATTAGTTGTTTAAACAGTATTTTTTTGGTGCTTTTTTACTAATCATAGTTTAAAAAAGAGTAAACATACTTTTAATTTCTGTATTTTATTTATATTTTACTTTTAATTCCTATATTTTTTTGAATGTTTTAAATCCTTATATTTTTATTTTTATTATTTTTTTTTTTTTATGAGCAAAGTATAGAAATCTTAGAAGAACCCAAAACAATAAAAAATAAAAATATAGTAATTTAAAATATAAAAAAATATAAGGATCAAAAGTAATATATACAAGAATTAAAAATTATATTTACCTTTTAAAAAATTGAGTAATTTAACACAGCTATAGGAAATGTACCAGTCACGGCCAAACACACCCTAATTGCGGCTGACATCTTCAGAAAATTACGTTTAATTTATATTTTTAATATTAAAACTCTTTTTTTTTATCCAAAAGCAATGGGCTGAATTTGCATTCGATCACATTTTATTTTATATATCAGAATGAATCTTATATTTGTAAGTGATATACTCTCTCCTTTAAAAAAATACAAGACATTTTAATTAAATTTCATTAATTGTATTTAAATTAACACAACTTTTTTATATTTAATTTTATTTATAGGATATTTCACTTTAAAATAAAATAAAATATATTTATTTCTTGTAGATATTTAAAAAAACAACACATTAATTACACATCATAATATTAAAAATATCTTAAATTTCAAACACTAAACCCCTTAAAAAATACTTACATTTTTAAATTAAGTGAGTACATCTTCACGTACTTCATATGTCAGTGATCATGATATTAAGGTTGATATCAATTTATATATATATATATATATATATTAAAAAAAGCCGTAAAAAGCTTAATTAATATTTTATTCGTAGATGCATAAAAAGATCCAATTAATAAATTTTTTATTATGAACAAATGTCTTTTTTACTGAAATTAATTATGTTCAAGATATGGTCAATATTAAATTTAAGCACTTTTTTTTAGTGAAAATTTAATCTCCAGTTCATTATACATTATATATAATTAGTCACTTTGGTGAAACTCAACTTCTATTAATAATTGTTAAGCCCTTTTGATGTCACCTTGACATTCTCAATAAAAAAAAAATCTCGAGATCGTGGAGTTAAAAAAAAAAAGTAAAGAGTTATGATTTGGTCCAAAATTGAGAATTTAATAAAAGTAATTCTGGACAAATATAAAGTGAGAAAACAAGAGAAAATTGAAATATTATATTTGAGAAAACAAATCCTTCAATTAGCTCTTATATTTTTTTAAGAATAGTGAGCGACCATAAATAAATTATATTATAAATTTATTAATTTTCAATACTTTATTTTTTCATAAACACATGAATTGAATTTGGTGAATTATATATACAATAAATGACTTCCACACCTGCGGTCAACTATTAATAAAATTTCCTCGTAAATGCCACTCATTAAATTGGGCACCGTGATATCTGTCTCATTTATGACGAAAATATATCGCACGCGCACACACACACACACATATATAGATATAGATATATATTTCATAAAAGGAGGGAGGAGAGAGGAGGAAAAAGATGAAAAGAGAAATTTTAAATTATATAAGACATTTTCTAATTTTTTTAAATATAAATATTTTAATAAATAAAATTTTATTAATGATATTTTTAAAATATTTTTTCATTATATTATCTTTTTAATATTTTTTATAAATAAAATATATATTAAGTGAATGATATTTTTTAAGTTTATATTTTTAAAATTGAGATTATAAAGTATATTTAATTATATTAATAATATGATATGATACTAATAACTAACTAATAAATTAACCAAAAGTTATAGTATCCAAATTAAAAAAAAAACAATATGATACTTTTGGTATAAACCTCTCGTCAAATGTTATGACCCATATGGGTCGAACGAAATGGTATAATTTTATTCTAAAATTACCGTAGTCATTTAGTAATAAAAAAAAGTATCATATTATTTTTTTATAATAAAACGAAATGATGTAATTTTACTCCAGAATTAGCCTAGTCATTTAGTAATAAAAAAAGTATCATATTATTTTTTTATAATAATAAAAAAATGTGAATATAATGTTAAAAAAAAAAACCGAAGGGAGAAGGCGGCGCGTGGAAGAGAGGGAGGGTAAAAAGTGTTGGTGAGTGGGACCCGTCACCATAAATCCGAAAGGACGGCACGGAAGTTGAGTACTCTCACGAGGCAAGCAGAGATATATAAACACTTCTCCACTCTTCAAAGGGAGGGACACCATCGGCCTCCCATTTCATTTCCCCTCATCTCTTCTATCGTTATCTATCAATCCTCTCCCTCTTCTCCTTCCTCTTCTTCCCTGCATTTACTTCCCTTCTCTCTCTCCCCCAACTTGTGATTGACCATTACACCCTACACTCTAGTCTTCTTTCTTCTCCGCTTTTGATCCATACTTTTTCCTGCCACCTCTGCCCACCACCATGGGAGGTATCAGCCTCGAGGAGATCAAAAACGAGAACGTCGATCTGGTATTCTCTTTTTCCATCTCTCTTTGCTTCCTCACAGAATTATCTGCTTCTCTAGCAAATTATTCTCCTGATTTTCATCCTGATGGTTTCGAATTTTCCTTTTCTGGTACTTTCGAAATCATTGAACGTGCTCAGCACTCCTGTGAAATTTCTTCTGCCTTTAGGTCTTGATGCGTGCTTTAAAGTTTAATCTGGTGTGGAACTTTGGAAACGATTTGTTGTTGTTAATTGTTACTATTATATGTACGGCGAATTTTTTGTTGTTTTCTGAGGCGAATGGCATACATAGCCTTTCTTCGCATGTCATCTCGCCGCGTGAGCTGAAATCCCTTTTCTGCAACTGCTGCTTCCGTCCTCTCGTCTCTCAGTGCCAGAGCGAACTGGACCCACTTTCTCTGGGTTTCAGGTTCGCTTCAACCAAAAAATAATAAAAATATAAAAGTAAAAATAAAGAAACTGTTTGCCATTATTTTTTCATACACTTTTTTCCTGTCAATAGTTTTTTTTCTTTTTTCCCATGGACCTAACTTTGCTTATCGGCAACTATCGTATTTATATTTTTATAAAATATACTTCTACACTTTTTGATTTTCCAGTTTTCGCAATAAGAAGACGGGGAATTAATGATGAAATGCTCCCGTAAGGTGTTCTTTTTGGGGCGAGTGCGAGATACCTGCGCTCTCCGATCGCATGTGAATATTAAAAAGTTCGGATTTCACCGCTTTCTGCGTGTGCCCCGCCTTTTTCGGAGTTACTTTTTTCCCACCTTAAAGAATTTAACAAATAAGCCACACTGTTTATTACACTATATGTAAAATTTCTCAATATACTATTTTGGTATTGGTATGTTGATATGTATAGGTGTAATATTTTATTATTATTAAAAAAAATAGAGAATCTTGAGTTCCCTACCTTTATGTTTTTTTTAAGTCAAAGACACTTGTCTGACACTGATGATTGAGGGAAAATTTTAATACGGGAATTGCTCAGATTTGCACTTGTCTAACGAAAAATCTCCAAATTAATAGTACATCGTTTATGTTTTATATGACCAAAAAATATTTTATTTAGCACATCGTGGCTTGGTTACTTAATTTTTTTAACAAAAGAAATTAGTTTAGCACTTGAAAAATACTCCCTCCTAAGGCGTCATCATTATTTAATGTTGATGTCATATTATAAGACACCTTTTTTGTATGTTAAAAATTTTAAAAAATTCTCATATTTTTTAAACATTGCAGACAAAATGAGCCATATTTGTCCCTTAATGTTTAATTGTATAGCTTATTATAATTATTATATTATGTTAATATGTTAATAATAATAATAATAATTAATATTAATAGTAATGTGTCGATGATTATTCTTTCGTTTTCCCGTGTTATAATTTGTTTCCTTAATTTCGAACACTTTCCTTTTATTCTCCCTGATCACGACTATTATGTGCTTGTCCTTTGCTGGTCCGATCCCTTTAATTGAATTCAGTCCCGCTTATGGTAGCCGAACCCTCTTCCCTATGATTAAAGATTGTTTAAATTAAATAATTTGTTATTGGTGAAACGGTTTAGTCTCAGGATCAGAGTTTAAGCTGACGTCAAGTCATCTGGACGGCTTATTATTTAGGGAAATTACATTGTAAGATCATAAAATCGTTTTATTTTTGTAGTTAAAACATCTTATATTTTGAAATTAATGGTACTTTCACGTTATAAACACCAACCAGCTGCAATTTTGGCTGCTAAAAAGTTGTGGAATGTTTTTGTGACGAAAATATTAATTTATCTTAAATTTAAAATAAGTAATGGCTTTATACAAGAAGCAGAAAATCTGAACATATTAATTTCGATCTTTTAATAGCAGTTACACCACAAAGGAAAAGCATGTCCACTTATTTTGTGGTGGAGGAATGGATGGGGACATTTCTTCAACTTTTTCTGCAGCAGCAATGATATATAGACTATGAAGGCGAATAAGTTTACGAGCATTCTAGAAATGTTGCGCGCTGTGTGGACATCTTCTGAAGGATAACTTCCTAATCCATTCTCGTATTAGCAAAGGTCATGTAGATAGGGGAAGTTAATAAATTAAATGAGGTTCTTTCACAAAAAAGATAATTGGTTGAGCTTCAAAAACTAATACTCCCTCTATCCGAAGAAGTATTAAGGGTATTTTTTAAAAGCTTTTTTTGGTTTTTTCAATGATATTTTTAATAATTAGACAATTTTACTTTTGTTTTGAAAAAAAATAGATTGTATGATTTTTCTATCTCGATCATTGATATTAATTGTGATCTTATCAAGGGCAAAATTGAAAAATCATTGTGATTTCATATAATTTCAACTAAATGACAACTTTATTAATATATGGAATCAGTTAAAAAAACTTTATATGGAGTGAGAAAAACAGAGTTTCTTCCTGTTGATTAGATACGATATTAACTAAAACAAACATATTTGGAGCAGGAACGGATCCAATTGAAGAAGTGTTTGAACAACTGAAATGTTCCAGAGAAGGTTTGACATCAGACGAGGGAGCCAACCGGCTTCAAGTTTTTGGGCCGAACAAATTGGAAGAGAAAAAGGCATGTTTCTTGAACACATCATTGCTCCTCGTGTTTATATTTCCTGGTATCTGGTTCGCTTCATTGGAAGCATGTAATGATTACATCCTACATCAACAGGAAAGCAAAATTTTGAAGTTCTTGGGTTTTATGTGGAACCCCCTATCTTGGGTTATGGAAGCAGCTGCCATAATGGCCATAGCTTTAGCAAATGGTGAGGAAGGCCTCCGGATTGGCAGGATTTCGTAGGTATCATTTGTCTACTGGTGATTAACTCCACAATCAGTTTTATCGAGGAAAATAATGCAGGCAACGCTGCTGCGGCACTGATGGTGGTTTAGCCCCCAAGACCAAGGTCAAATACTCTTATCCTCAGACTTATGTATGCATGCATTATTGAAGAGATTGTGGCTCATCTTCTTATCATTCGCTCATTTTCTCTGGCCACAAATTATAGGTTCTTAGAGATGGTCGGTGGAGTGAACAAGATGCTGCAATGTTAGTTCCAGGAGACATAATCAGCATCAAGTTAGGAGATATTATTCCTGCTGATGCCCGTCTTCTTGAGGGTGATGCCTTGAGCGTTGATCAGTTGCTGCCTTGACTGGAGAGTCTCTTCCTGTGACAAAGCATCCATCCGATGAAGTATTTTCCGGATCAACTGTCAAAAAGGGTGAGATAGAAGCAGTTGTCATTGCTACTGGCGTGCACACCTTTTTTGGTAAAGCAGCTCATCTAGTGGATAGCACCAACCAAGTTGGGCACTTTCAGAAAGTCCTTACAGCAATTGGTAATTTCTGCATTTGCTCAATTGCACTTGGAATCGTTGTCGAGATCATTAGTCATGTACCCAATACAGCATCGGAAGTACAGAGATGGAATTGATAATCTATTAGTTCTATTAATTGGAGGAATTCCCATTGCCATGCCTACCGTGTTGTCTGTCACTATGGCTATTGGTTCTCACAGACTTTTCAGCAAGGTGCAATTACAAAGCGAATGACAGCTATTGAGGAAATGGCAGGGATGGATGTCCTCTGCAGTGACAAAACTGGAACCCTGACCCTAAATAAGCTTAGTGTCGATAGAAACTTGATTGAGGTGTTTCCCAAGGGTGTAGAGAAGGATATGTTATCCTTCTAGCAGCAAGGGCTTCTAGGACTGAGAATCAGGACGCCATTGATGCTGCAATCGTAGGAATGCTTGCTGATCCAAGGAGGTATAACAGGCAACAAATCTCGAAAACAAGAACAAAGTGAAACGATCCCCCGGGGGGGGGGGGAACTTATTTTGAATAGAAAGTTTGTAAACACTTTTACTGTCAATTTTCTGATCATCTAAGTTGAACAGGCACGAGCTGGTATTAGAGAGGTCCATTTCCTCCCATTCAACCTGTAGACAAGAGAACTGCTCTAACCTACATTGACTCTGATGGAAATTGGCATCGAGCAAGTAAAGGTGCCCCTGAGCAGGTAATTATGGTTTCCCTTTTGCCATGCGAAGATATTTTATGATGGATGAACTAATCAATTTCTTCTCATGTTTAAGATATTGAACCTGTTGCAACTGCAAGGAGGATGTCAGGAAAAGGGTTCATACAGTCATTGATAAGTTTGCTGAGCGTGGACTCAGGTCCCTAGGTGTTGCAAGACAGGTTATAGAGCTAAATCATTGTTATTTTTTTAATTATTTTACTTCTCTACTTGAATACTTTTCACTTATTGCTACTCCTTTGTTCTATCATATAGGAAGTAACCGAGAAATCAAAAGACAGTTCTGGTGGACCATGGCAATTTGTTGGTTTGCTACCTCTGTTTGATCCTCCTAGGCACGATAGTGCTGAAACCATCAGAAGAGCTCTTCACCTTGGAGTGAATGTTAAGATGATTACGGTAAGATTTAAGTCTGAGTCTTTTGTTCTATTAGCTTCGTCTTCTAGCATATACTCTTTTCGTATAACTTCTATAGCTTAATAATTAGTTGCAATCTCTCTTGTTCTTGTTCTTAGGGACCAGCTTGCCCTGCCAAAGAAACTGGCCGAAGACTTGGAATGGGAACTAACATGTATCCATCTTCTTCATACTTGGCCAAGACAAGGATGCTTCTATTTCAGCTCTTCCGGTAGATGAGTGATTGCGAAGGCAGATGGATTGCTGGAGTTTTTCCAGGTAGTTGTTTTTCTTATATGTAAACAATCACCGATTCCCTTAGAAGGCTGAAGAAAAACAATTTATTACTAAAGCCTCCAAATTTGTTTTTCAACTTTGACCATTTCTAACATTTTTTACATGTTCATGGATTCCACTTTATATGACTCAACGGAGACTGCTAATTGAATCAACAAAATTAGTTCATTCTAATTGCCTTCCAGTTCCCTGCATTTTAACCACAAAAAATTGTTGTTTGACATGCGAACATAAATACGAAATCGTTAGAAGCTGCAAGAGAGGAAGCATATCTGTGGAATGACAGGAGATGGTGTCACTGATGCCCCAGCACTAAAGAAGGAGATATTGGAATTGCTTTGCAGATGCTACTGATGCTGCTAGAAGTGCTTCTGACATTGTTCTCACTGAACCTGGATTGAGTGTTATTATTAGTGCCGTGCTAACGAGCAGGGCCATTTTCCAAAGGATGAAGAATTATACTGTTAGTTCCCTTGATACATAATTTAACAGTTTTTTATGCTATGTTAACATTTTTTT